TGTATGTAGCCTTTGCTGTGTTGAGGTATGTTCCTCTATTCCTTGCTTCTGTGGGGCTTTTATCATGAAGGAATGCAGAATTTTGTCAAAGGCATTTTCTGTGTCTATTGAGATGACCATGTGACTTTTGTCCTTGATTCTGTTTGTGTGCTGTGTTACATTTATTGATATTCATACGTTAAACCATCCTTGCATCCTTGTAATGGAATTGACTTGATTATGGTACATACTGGTTTTTTGTTTTCAGCTTTAATTAGGATATATTCATTGTACAGGGGGGAATTCATTGTGCTAATTTTGAATAGGCCTACATTGTACATTGGTTAGATCATCCCCACCATCTCTTCCCCTACAACCTCCATCCTGCCCCACTTAAAGCACTTACAAGAGGTTTCAACATTCTATTTCATATATGTATATTAAGGCCCATCAACCATATTCTCACCTTCCTCTCCTCCATTCCTGCTTCCTCCCTCCCATAAGTACCTCTCCCCCACTGTACCTATTTTACAGTCCTGTCTTTCATTATTAAATTGCTAAGTTGATGTTCAAAGAGGTTTCTCAATGTATCCCTCTGTGAGTATACTTTACTTTGGTCAGTTCAACCCCTTCCATTACTCTCCCTTACCCCTCCCTCCTCACCACCAGCACATGATTTTTTTAATGTGTTGTGAATTCAGTTTGCAAGTATATATTAAGAAATTTTAGGTCTATGTTCATCAAGGAAGTCTGTCTGTAGTGTTTTTGTGTTGTTTTGTTTTTTCATGTCCTTTACTATCTTTGGTATCAGGTAATGCTGGCTTTGTAGAATGTGTTTGCTAGTATTCTTTCCTTCTCTATTTCATGGAATAGTTGAGTAGCACTGGTGTTAGTTCTTCTTTAAAGGTTTAATATTTTAATATGGCCAGGGGCAGTGGCTCATACCTGTAATCCCAGCTTGCTTGTAAGGTGGAAATAGGGAGGATTGTGTTTTAAGGATATCCCAGGCAAAAAAGTTAATGAGACCCTATCTCAACCAATAAAGCTGGGTGGAATGGTGTGGGCCTGTCATCCCAGCTATCCAGGAGGATGTAAATAGAATTGTGGTCCAGACTGGTATGGGCCTATTTGAAAAATAATGAAAGAAAAAGGGCTTGGCCATGGCTTAGTGGTAGAGTGCCTGCTTTAAGCCAAGGCCCTGAGTTCAAACTCCAGTAATACCCCCCCCAAAAAAGAAAAGAAAAGAAAAGAAAAAGAGATCTGGTAGAATCCATCTGGTCTTGGGCTCTTCTTTGTTGGGAAACTATTTCTGCTTCAATATCATTGTTCATTAGATCTGTTCAAAGTATTTATAGCCTCTTGGCTCAATTTTGGTAAATCATATGTGTCTTCTAGATTTTCCAATTTATTGGAATGTAAGGTTTTAAAAAAATCTTCCCTGATGATCCTCTGAATGTCATTGGTATATGTTGTAATATCCCCCTTTTCATGTATAATTTTACTTATCTGGGTCTTCTCTCTCTCTCTCTCTCTCTCTCTCTGTTGGTTAGTTTGGCTAAGGGTTTGTCAATCTTGTTTATCTTTTCAAAGAATTATTTCTTTGTTAGATCTCTCTGATTTTTAACATAGACACTCATAAACTTCCCTCTTAGAACTGCTTTGCTATATCCCACAGGTTCTGTTATATTGTATTTTCATTTGATCTAGGTATTTTCAAATTTCCTTGCCAATTTCTTCAATGACTCACTGATCATTCAAATATATATTGTTCAATCTCTATGTGTTTCTGTAGTTTCTCTATGTCTAATTTTATTTCATTATGATTTGATAAGATACAAGAAACAATTTCAGTTTTCTTGTACTTGTTAAGACTTGCTTTATGGCCCAAGTGTGTTCTATTTTAGGGACAGTTCCTTGGACTGATGAAAAGAATGTGTATTCCACAGCTGTTGGATGGAATAATCTGTTGATGCCTATTAAGTCCATTTGCTCACAGTGCAGTCTACTCTTCATTGATTTTGCCTTGATTAGCTATCTATCAATTGATGAGAGTGGAGTTTTAGAGTTACACACTATTATTGTATCTGGACCTATTTATCTCTTGATGTTCAATAGTGTTTGTTTTAGGTGCACCAAGGTTTAGTGCATATAAATTTACAATCCATCTTCTTGATGGATTGTTCCCTTTATTAAAATGCAGTGTTCTTTATCTCTTCTAACTAATTTTGACTTAACATCTACTTAATCAGACATGAGTATAGCTACTCCCTGCTTGCTTTCAGTTTCCACTTGGTTGGTGTATTATTTTCCATCCTTGTGTTTTCAATCTATATGTGTATGTCTTTGCCATACACAAAAGGTGTGTCTCTTTCAGACAATGAATAGTTGGATCTTGTTTTTTAAACCAATCAGCCAGTGTATGTCTTTTGATTGGAGAGTTAACAATTTACATTGAAGGTTATTATTGTGCTTACCATTCCTATAAGTCTGTTGTTTTTTCCCCCAGGTTGATTTGAGTTTTATTTATTCTTTTCTTTTACCTTTATTCATCTCAGAATTCTGATGGTTTGCTGAATTGAACATGTTTAATTCTTACCTAATTTTCATGTGCTCATCTATTCCTCTCATGAAATTTATTCTTTTTTGAGCCCTTGTGTTTGTGACTGTCTTTCTTACTATCTGTACCTTTTTTCTTTGGCAGTACTTGGGTTTGAACTCAGGGTACTGCACTTCTAGGCAAGTGCTCTACCACCTGAGCCATGCCTTCAGCCCTTTTTCTTCATCTGAATGTAGTGTTTCTTTAAGTATCTTCTGCAATGCAGGCTTGGTGGACATGAACTGTTTTATCTTATGTTTATCTTGGAAGGTATATACCATCAATTTTAAAGGACAGCTTTGCTGGGTATATTAATCTTGATTAGCAATTATTTTCTTTTTCAGAGCTTGAAATATATCATTCCACATTTTCCTGGCTTTTAGGGTTTCTGCTGAGAGGCTGAGAGGTCTCAGGTAATTTTAATGTGTTTACCTTTTTAAGTAAGTTGGTGTTTCTCTCTTGCAGTTTCAATATCTTTTCTTTGTTCTCTAGGCACACAGTGGCAGCTCAGTGGGTGTGGGGCAGGTTCCCTCGATAGCAACAACTTTGGTGAGTGGGACAGGTCCAGTGTCTCAGCGGCAGCTGACAGGGTGGGGATGAGGGGACAGCTCCTACTTCAGAAGTTGGTTGGAGGGGGCAGGGCTGCTCCAGGCACAAGGCAGTAGCTGGGTGTGTGTGTGTGGAGCAGCTTCTGTGCTGCTAGCACTCTCCACTCAAGTACTACAGGTGGTCTCCTGGTGGGGTGGGTCTGGGCCTGCCCTGTGAAGTTTTTTCCATGGGATTCATGGTGCTGGCTCTTGAGTAAAACTGATTTCCTTCCCACCAACTTTTATCTCCCAAGTATTGGCTTTGGAACAGTGAGCAGTTGACTGGACCTGGGTCCAGTAACACAAATAATTGAAGTAAATCAACTTATATTGAGAAGAAACTTTTTGGCTTGTGATTGTAGAGGTTTTGGTCTGTGATTAATTGGCGTTGTTGCTTTTAACGTGTGGTGAGGTAGCCCATCGTGGCAGGAGAGTGTGGTGGAACAAAGCCATTTTCCTCATATCTGAGAATCAGGAGAGGATGGGAATGCCCTTTGAGGGCACACCCAATGACCCAAAGACTTCCCACTAGGCCCCAGCTCAAAATTTCTACATTTCCCAATAGTGCCATATTCTGGGGACCAAATCTTTAACATATGAGCCTTTGAGGGATAGTCTAGATCCAAACTTTAGTAGCTCCCACTTAGAGCAAGTCACTTAATCTCCCTGAGGTTCCATTTCCTCTTTGAGAAATGGGAATAACAACTGTACCTCCCTTGTGGGAGTGTTGGGGCGGGGGTTAAACAAGAAAACATATAGCTAACTTGTAACAGTGGCTGGGCATGTGATGAATGTTGTGCTCCTGGGCCTGCTGCAGTGCCTGGGTCACACAAGGTGCTTATTTCTCCTGCATTCAGAGGAGCTTATTTCTGAGGTGCTTCTTCCACCTCTCCCTGTGACTTTCTGTGTCTGGGATGCCAGGGTCACAGGCCCAGATTGGGCAAGAGGAGGGAACTGGTTGGTCCTCTGATCTTGGACAGGAAAATTTGGAGACACCAATAATTTTGGGAAATTCAGAGGTAGGAAGTGAAAGGGGGAGGAGGGACAGAGGGGAAACAGCAACTGCACTCCTATTCCTCCCTTATAGGCCTGGCTCCCCCTCCTAAATTGTGCAATGAGGAGCGAGTTGTCTGGATTGTGAGGGTGTTAGGGGGACTGACCAGTAGACCCCTTTTTCTAGGGAGGAGAACAGAAATGGTTGTGTTCCCACCCCCCACTACTCATTGCCTGAGTTCCAACTCTGTTTCACTTCTGTTTACTGTCCAAAGTCCCAGGGGCCAGAGATGCCAGGTTAGACTCACTTGGACACTCAGACGTACCAGGCCCAGTGCCCTTGCCTGGACCAACCCCCTCCTCTCTTCTCATCTAGCACCACCTGCCCCAATTCTCCAGGCTTTAACCCCTCTTTTTCCCTGAGGCTTGGGCTGCCTGTGGGAGCTAAAGTCAGCTCTTATACCTTTAACAGGTAACTAAGGTCTGGGAGGCATGTGGGACTGGGGATGTCTGGGGTTGAAGGGACCTTGGTTCAGGGACACTGAGGGGGATGGATGGGAAGATGTGTGGTTGTTTGGTTCCTGAGAATGTGGAGAAAAGCCTCCTGGCCACGTCAAGGTGAAGCCATCTCCAGAGATGGACAGGACTCTGCAGTATGTCAAAGCTTTGCTCCAAACTCATGTCCAATCTTAGACCCACTCTCAGCCGTCACCTTGACCTATTTTTAGACCCTAGTTCAGTCTCTCCACAAATTAGCAAAAACCCCACCCCCAAACTCAGCCCAGTCCTAGCCATAAGAGTCACCTCAACTCAGTTCCAGATCTGGCTCCAGTTCTTGGCCCATCATGGAAAAAGACTTTCAAGACATCCAGCAGCTGGACTCTGAGGAAAATGACCATCAGCTCAGTGGTGGTGAGGAGCCAGGCACTCGTGAGCAGAACTGCAGGACAGAAAATCCATTTTGGAAAGGCAAGTGTCCATTTTTGGGGGGGCTTCACCTGAATGCCTGTCTCAGCTGCTGGTTGCTGTCTGTCTTTCTGAGGTCCCTGTCACATTCACTTAGGGAAGTGGGACTGAGTCTCTCTAGGCTTGAGCTGCTGACACCTCTGATTGCAGAGGGCCCCAGAAAGGGAATGTCTCCAGAGGTGATCCCTCACTGGAGAAGACTTCCTCTCTCTTCCTCTCACCCCCGAGGCACATGTATGCTGTGTGTATGCAAGTGCATGTATGTGCAAAGAAGGAATGCACAGTCAGCCAGGACTGGGGTGAGTTGGGGCTGGTGGGAAAATGGACACAGAGAACTCCTGGAAGAGCCCCATCCCTCCCAGGCTTCCTGCCTCTAGCAAATCTTGAAAACAGGGCCCCACGTAACTGGGAAAAGGTTTTAAGGCAAGAGAAATCTGAGTGGGTCTAGGCAGAAAGGCAGGGATGGAGGAAAGTGTCAGGTACAGGTGTTGGTGATGGAAACTGGTTCTGTGGAGACAGGAAGAGCCAAGGCTCAAGCTCAGGGTTGGGGATAGATACCCTGGGGTTGGCAGACTGGGGAGGGCTTGTGCTGGGCAGAGAAGGAGGGAGCAGAAGGGAGAGTTATTCCACCTTAGCTTCTTCCTGGAGAAGTGGGCTGGCAGGCCTTTCCAAAAGCAGATGCTCCATGGGGACTGAGGCCACTCCTGCCTCACTCTCCTCTCCAGCTCTCCATGGCTGACATGGTACCTGGGACTAGTAAACACTCAATGACTTTGGATATTGCTGAATCTTCTGGGGTGACATATTTCAGAAGTTGAATGGGAGACTTGGAGACAGTGCACAGATTTTGGACTGAGGGGCAGCACTGAGGGGAAACTGAGCTGCTGCAAACAAGTCATGCGTTTCTTTCCAACAGCCCCTGCTGCCTGGGTGGGGAAGTTGTCACAGGAGCCTGTCTTTATTTTTTTATTTTTTTTTGATTTTTAGAAATCTTTGGAGGGGTTGTGTTTGTGTAAGTGTGGGGTATGTGTGTGTGTGTGTGTGTGTGTGTGTGTGTGTGTGTTTTGCTGGGGATGGAACCCAGGGCCTCAAGCATGCTTGCCAAGTACTCCACCACTGAGTTGCACCCCAAGGTGTTACCTGTTTAAAACACAACTCACGCAAGTTAAATAATATATACCAGTTTGAGCCATGATTTCACTAAAAGAACTTCAGAAAAGTCTTCCAAAAACATTTCATTCGAACTGATAATACTAAATCACTTTATTTTGTCTTAATAACAACACTTACTCATGATGTTGATTTCTTCATTTCACTGGAATAAAAGCAATTCCATCCAAAAGTTTTCTAGTTAACTCATACAATAGATACTTATATTATCTACTATATATATGTTATGAATATATATGTATTCCATACAAATTAACAATCAGATACAAAATATCATTTAGAAATTAAGTCAAAGATAATCCATTAGGCCAGATGAAAGGTGGTAATTCATGTGAACTCATGTGCCAGGTTGCCTGGGTCCAAATATTGGCTTGCCAGATAAATTTTATTTATTTTATTTAATTTTTTAAATTTGTTTTTGGTGGTACTAGGATTTGAACTCAGGGCCTCATGCTTGCTAGGCAGGTACTCCCTCTTAAGCCATGCCCCCCCAGTCTGTCAGATAAATTTTAAATAATTTTTTGTACCTCAGTGTTCTTCTTTTTATTTTTTTTTTTTTGCAGTTTTCTTGTTGGAAAAAAAAAAAAGGTTGATTTTTAATTCCCAAATGAGGTAATATACTTTTAGAAGGGAAACTGACACAGAGAAAATGCTATGAGGTGTTAGTTCTCATTTTATCAAAATCAGCGTTAGTATTGTTGGGTCTGGAGACTTAAAGGGCAGATGAGTGAATATCTCATCCCCCATGGAGAGCTCTATGAGCTCTGCATCCTGAGAAGGAGGTGTAAATCTGTACCCTGAAGAGGAGATGTAGGGTCTCATAGATCTGCCACAGAGCTGATGAGCAAAAAGCTCTCAAGATTGCTCCCCCACCCCACGATGCTCTAATAATGGGCAACTTATCTAAAAGAGCCCTTGAACCCATGGCCAATGAGAAGAGCCCACCTAACCCTTACCCAAACCCAGAGTTAAAATGTGCATAAAAGCCCCAGGCTTCACCTGATCAGAGAGCCACCAGTTTCAGGTCTCTGCTGCATACTCTAGCTATAGCCTTTCCTTTCTCTCTAATAAATCCTGCTTCCTGTACCGGCTTTGGCTCACAAGTCAATCGTCTGCCTCACAAGCCAGTTCTCTGGCCTGTGAAGGCAAGGACCCTCGACACCCACCCACAACATTTCACATCAGCATGTAACAGTATCAAGGGGCATTCAGTGAGTTTGAATGAACTCATTACTGTTGGCAGTAATGGTGCCCATAGGTTTCAGTTCTTACTGCACCCTTAAGCTTCTGTTTTCCAGGGTCACAGTCCTGCCTCTCAGGGTCACAGTCCAAGGAGCCTGTCTTTAGTGTTGACTACCACTTTATGTGTCTACAGTTTTCAACACATTTGGAAATGTTTTGACCAGTGTATTTTCTCAGATATTTTTTCTGCTTCTACTCCCTTCCTTTCTTTCAAGAACTCCCATTATGTACATGTGAATGGTCCCAAAGATCATTGATGCTCTTTCTTTTTGTTTTTAATTCTTTCTTTGTCAGTGTTTCATTTTATAGTTATTGCTATGTCTTCTTTAAGTTAATCAAATTCTTCTTACGTATTTCTAATATTCTATCAGTTTCACCCAGCGTGTTTTTTTATTCCAAACATTTGTAGTTTTTATCTCTAGAAGTTCAACTTGGGACTTTTCAATATCTTCCACAGTTCTGTTCAATATTGTTTTGCTTTAAAAAAATGATACAATGGGGGTTATTATGATGTTTCTATAAATGCGTATAATGTACTGCTTAATGTTTTAAACATATGGAATACAATTATCTGTTGCAGTATCGTTGTCTACTAATTCTAACACCTGTGTCAGTTCTGCCTCTTTATTGATTTATTTATTCATTCATTCATTTATTGTGCTGGGGATGGAGCTCATGACTTCACACATGCTAGGCAAGTGCTTTACATTCCCAGCCCATTTTGTTAGGTTTATTAACCTCTTCAATAGGAGTTGTGTTTTCCTGTTTCATTGCATATCTTATAATCTTTGACTGGATGCCAGACATTGGGAATTTTATCTTGCTGGGTGCTGGATGTTTTTGGATGCCTCTAACTATTCTTGTGTTTTCTTCTGGAGATTTTTTTGGGGGACTGGGGTTTGAACTCAGGGCTTTGTGCTTGCAAAGCCAGCGCTCTACCACTTGAGTCTTGTGCTTTCTTCTGAGATGCAGTTAAGTAACTTGGAATCTGTCTGATCCAAGGAGCCCTCATTCTCTTGGTCTCAGACTTTCAGCCTCATCTCCTCAATTTGGGGAGTCTGCTGGGCTCTGCCTTGATTTCTCTTCTCTGAGCAGTAAAATGGGATATTGGAGGATTCCTCTTGTTTGTTCCCAGCTTCTCAGAAATCATTTTCCTTTTTGTGATACCCAGTGTCTTGAAAACTCTTGCTTCTTGGAACTGTGGCTCAAGTGGTAGAGCATGAAGCCCTGAGTTCAAACCCTGGTCCCACCAAAAACAAAAACAAAAACAAAAACAAAAACTGTTGCTTCTTATAGTTTTGTTGTTGTTGTCATTTGTTTTTTACTTTTTTCTGTTTCTGGGAGAAGGGTAAATTTGGCCCTGTTATTCTGTCTGGCAGAAAGCCATTCTTTGACTTTCAAATTTGCCTAACCAGCTCTTTAATGTTTTAACTCCTAGAACTTTGCACTTTAATGTTGTAATCTCTAGAACCAGGTGGCTGCTTTTGTCATTGCCATTTTATACGTGAAAAAACGAAGGCACAAGAGATTGAATGACTTGTCCATTCTATTAGAATAGATTGGTGGCACAGCTGGACTATGCCCACTGGGCTGACCCCGAGTCGGGGGTGATAGGTCACAGGTTAGCTGGAAAGCAGGACAAAGGTCCTCTACATGGGACTAGGAAGACTGGTCACTGGCTCAGCTGTGGAGTCCCAAGCTGGGTTGGGGAAATCTGTGGTCAGAGAGAACTTCTGGAAGGAGTGTGTCTTAGGCTGTTTTGTGCTGCTAAAACAGAATACCTGAGACTGGATAACTTAGAATGAACAGAATTTTATTGGCTCATGGTTCTGGAGTTTAGAAAGTCTAAGACTGTGGGGCTGCATCTGGCAGGGCCTTCTGGCTACATCATCCCATGGAGGAAAGGCAAAGGGAGGGCAAGAAAGACAGCAAGAGGGAAGCTCTTAACATGATGCATTAATCTGTTTTGAGGGCAGAGTCCTCAAGACTTAACCACCTCCTATTATGCCCTACCTCCTAAACACTGCTGTATTGCGGATCAAATTTCCAATACTTTGGGGAATACATTCTGACCATAGAACCCAGGCATTGGGTGGATGTGGGAGGAGGTAAGAGGCAGTAGAGGCTGTGCTCTGGGGTTGTGGGTAGTAGAGGCATCAGAGGCACAGCCTCTCCGGGTCAAGATGGGGTTCCTGAGCATAGCTGTAGTGAGGAAGATGACAGTCTCTCATAGAGGCAGTGGTAGGAGGGGACCTGAGGAGCAAGATTCTGGGCCCCTGACTAAGCCTCCCCAGGATGTGGGAGTGCAGCGTGTGATGGCAATGAGAGAGGGAGCTCCACAGAGTCAGGGTCTGCTGCAGAGAAGAGAAAGTGTCTGAAGTGTCTGTCCACAGGTGGCGTGGTGCAAAAATCTGGGAGGTGGGTTGCTCCTCTGGGTCTTGAGAGACAGTGGAGGGTTAGGCCAGCTCCTATGTGTGATGTGGTGTGTGAGAATTGTGTGTCAGTGTGCATATGTGTTGAGGAAGTGTAAAAATGTGTGCATCAGGCAGGTGTATTGATTTGTGCCTGTCACCTCAGCCACAAGGGAGGTGTAAA